ATTGCTATATTTTAGTTCGCGTTAGCTAAAGTTATATTAAAATCATCTTCAAATAAAATATATGTATGTGATATTAACTCGACCGAAGAGGTTAAATTTAATTTATTGGGGAAGGATTGAAGAAGATTGCATTAATTTTAAAACATATTTTGAAACAATTTTATATATAAATAATACTCACATATTCGGCATAAAACTTATTAGAATATCAAAAATCACAATTAGTAGTATGTGAGAGTTAGGGGTAGTATCGATCACATATCACGTAGTATCACATACTAATAAAATGTTCCCTGGGTTTCATTACCACACCTCGCACCAACACCAATCATATCGAATAAAATTAGCCGGATCAGCCGCTAAGTAAAATTTTCGGTAAATTTTATCAATTTTAAGCACAAAGATGCACTGTTATAAGTTAACCACGCTCTCACATTTTTATTGAAATAATTCACATATTGGCCGATATATGCCATATAGAGGAACTACTAATCCGATTCAACCCATTTTTAACATTCAAATATTCTATTAAAAGGAAAAGATTCTCTCAATTAAATTTCTCACACATTGACCGATATTTTCGGTGAAAAGTCGACTATAGGCACTGGGGTCTACCTCAGTGTAGTAGAAATCGGTCTAGCAGATCCAGAAACCTATAACGTCTTCTCATATCATCTTCAAGATAAAATTTAAAATCTCTAGCATATTAAGTTATTGATTGATATATGAGAATTATGTGGGGCTATCATCAGATCCATTTTTACAGTGTCGGTAGGGGTGCTTAAGGAATTTGGTTTGATCGAATTCGGTTATTTTGTTAGCATCAATGAGTTGTATTATGATGTGCCTCGTGGAAGAGTAATTTAACGGTTTTGTTTATGGCTTTATTTTTTTCATTAATAAAAAATAGAAGTATAGCGTTGCATTATTTTTAATTAGTTTCCTTGAATAATAAATTATTTAATGTATACAATTTCTCGGTTTAGAAAATGAAAATGCGAAAACTTTTTATTACATTTTGTACCGTTATTTAATATCAAAAATTTCTTTCGCTCAATTTAATGTTTAAAACATTTTCAGCAGCTTTACACAATATTTTAATTTCAAATTTGCGCGAAATTATTTAATTTAGACTTATGCACTTTTATTTAAATTTTAATAAAACAACCGAAAATCATTACTAGTTCATTAGAAAGCAAATTCTGATGCTCAGTCAGGTATGACTAACCATTAGAGAAGCACAGAAATTGTACTGTATGGAACAAGCAACGCATTTACGTACACATACACGCACATAAAACAAACACTCATAGCCAAACATTGCGAATACGCCCTGCTGTGCGCCACAGGCGCGCTCTTCATAGCCAACGCTTAGGAATAAAATTCAAATCGATATGAATGTGTTTATGCTTTAATAAGCAAAGAAGAAAATAATTGAAAAATGTACTCGCAGCTTTATACCATGATTAATAGAGGTTAGTGATGGAAAATTTCTAGAAATTCATCTACACGAGTGCAAACTGAGGGCATGAGTATTAAAAGTTTTTTGCTTTGATTGCAATAAGTTTTGCTTCAACAACTAACCACATTCAGTACACTTTCAATTGATTGGCAAATAAAAATATATTTTCTTCAAGAAGCCTGCAGCTGCAATTCTGCTCGAGTTAATAGTCTATGATGGCTAGTGAACAACTTTCGCTATAGTTGAAGTGCATTGATGGAGCCGGCGAGAGGTACATAAAGAAATCCATATAAAATCAAACGAAATAGTTGAGATCATTCGATATCTGCACGAAAGAAAAAGCACGAACTTGCATTAAATGCCACTATAACGTTTAAGTGGACAGTTTTGTGGAAAATTGCGAAATAAAATTTGAAGTACTCGCATAGCCAATGGCCAACAACAGGTTGAATGGCGTAAACTTTGTCTCTGCAAACTTTTACTACAGTCAGCAAAACAAAGTCGTGGTAGTTGCGGTGACTATGAAAACGGCGAGATTGTAATGAAAAGGTGTGGTAGTAAATTTGTAGAGTATAAAAGTTGATGTGCCATCTATTCATGACACATATTACACATCTGTATACTGCAGCAAGCAATTCTTTGTACAAATATGTTTATGATAGCCTTAGGAAGCAATTGAAATATGAAATATTGGGTAGCCAACAATATCAATATGTATTATCGTTAGATCTTTGTTAAATAAACATAGATGTGGGAAATAATTAGAATATGTTTAATCTGTGCGTTTTATTTAAAAAAATATAATATTTGAAAAATTGTCAAGAGCGACACGGTCTAACAAAAAACTCCATTTTCACCTTTTTTATACAATTATTTATTATCGTTTTCAAAATAGGCTCCTTTTGGGCCAACACAAGCAAATCAATGCTTAATACAAATTTTCTTACACTTATTATAAACCTTGGCTATTATAGTCTTAATTGCCTTCAGAAAATGTTGACTTCTTTGAGTTTGTTGGACAGTTTGAATTCCGAAAACATCTCTGCAACCTTTTCAACATTTTTTTAGCTTTGATACTTTTGTTCAAATTTCCTTCATGGTAAAACTTTTGAAGTCGTCAAAAAACAGCTGCCAACACACTAATTAACATATGGAGATTAAGTTTCACACGAACATAAAAAAGGTTGTATTAGTGTAGGAAAAATATTTTTCGTTTGTGTTTGCATGTGCAGTTTAAATGCACCAGTCCAATTTTAATTTTAACAGATAATATAGTATATACACTTGTAATTTTTTTCCTTCAATTCTAGCAAATGAAACAATTCGCCTCAAATTTTGTTCAAGCTTAAAATGATATTTAGATATTTAGAACTCAGTCTAGATATATCAATTGTATAATTGAGTGCTGCAAAATCTTAAATCTCTGAAATTATATAAATTTTAATGTCACTCAAACTTTAGTAAGAGGAATATAGAAAAAGTGAGAATGAACCCAAACGATTGACCGATGCAACAAACCAAAGAGTATTGACGAAATCATTAAAAGGTATTGTGTATCATATTTTCACAATGATTTGCCTGGACTATTCTTCTACGTTTCTTTACTTCAAATTCATATGAAGAAATATACAGTATACAGATTTTCACTGAGCTTTCTTCAAAAGATACACTGACAACTCCTGTTGAGGTCAGCTTGACGAATAGTCTAATGTTTATGAAAATTCTTGGAGAAACCCTGGAAATTAACAATGTAGACATGAAACAAGCGTGAGGCTTCCTTATATTTCACATTATATAACTACGTCAGTTTTTTTTAGACGATGAGGTACAATAATCATCTAATCTCTTTATGTTTTGTTTAGCATTCGGAAAGAGGAGATGCAAGTAGCTCGGAATATATTACTTTATAGCACTAAAGACAATCTCAAAATTGTATGTATGCGAAGTATGTATAGTCGTTGGCAACTCAGGTGTTCATCAAGTTATTCATACAAACCAAATCCGTAATAATTATTCGTTTTTCTGTTTAAAGTTTCAAAATTAAAATTAAGTTGATACGATGATACACGGGTGATTTACAGCACCTAGAAGCGAATATCGGAAACTCTATAATGTATCAAGTATTATTTCTAAGTACATCCCATCTGAAGTTTTAACATTTTCTGCATCGACCAGAACAAATGGTAGTCAAAAAGGAAAAGATCTGAAGGGTGAGGCAAAATTTTCCACTTGCTGTTTTCCAAACATTTTTTAACCTGTCTACTGTCGAGCATTGTCATGATAAAAAATTATTACCTTGCTTTTAGTCGCGAATTCTGGATGTTTTTAGAGGATTGCTCTTCTCAATTTGATGAGTTGTTTTCGGTAGCATTCTTCATTAATGGTTTCGTCCGACTTTAGAAGCTCTTAGTACAGCGCGTTTATTTGATTCCACCAAATACAGAGCATTATCTTGGCGTCAGGGATATTCGGTTTTGCCGTTGATTGGGCTAAAGTGTTGCTGAAGACCGCAATTTGTCGATTCCAAGATATTCTCAAGAATTGGGCCTATCTCAAACCAAAACCTGACGGATTTTGAGAAAGGATTGGGGCTTTCATTCGTATAAAATAGTTCTCACTCAAGAACTATAGCCAAAACGATAACGATTTTTTTTTTTTCATCTGAGTGGTGCAGTAAATAAACAAAACTGTCCCTTCTAGTGCGAAGCTTATCCACAAATTATTCATGAACAACCATTACATTCACCTAAATTGACAGTTTGGTGTGGTTTTTGGTCTGTTGGAATCATCAGTTCGTACTTCTTTTGAATTGAACCTAGTGACACCGTTGCTGTCAAAGGAGAGTGGTATAGATCGATGATGATCAACTTTTTATAGTCGCAATTGGAAATACTGGATCTTGACAACATCCTGTTCCCACATGACGAGGCTACGTGCCACACAGCACGTGCAACAACCGAATTATTGCGAGAAAAGTTTTGAGATTCGATAACTTTAAGAAATTGGGACATTGAATGGCCTCCAAGAAAATGTGATTAAACACCATTAGACTACTTCTTGTGGCGTTATTTGAAGTCCTTGGTCTTAAGCAATGAACCAGATTCTCTTCAAGCTTTAGAAGTCAATATTGAACGTGCTATTAATGACAAACAATTTGATTTAGTGGAAAAATTAACTCGCAAATTGGATTCATCCAATTCATTCCTGCAAAAGAAGGCGTGGAGGCCATTTGAATGATGTTATATTCAGAATTTAATTGTATCGATTGACTAATTAACATATAGCTGACAAATAAACTGACCGATAAAAATCATTCATACATATATATTCATATATATATACTATCCTACTAAATATTATTAAAACTATTTTCCACAATAATTGACATTAAGTTTGAGTAAAAATAAATTTCTTATGCACAAGTATTAGTCATCATATTTATGTCGTGCCAAGATGTGTTACTAACACAAAGTTAAATAATTTTTTACCAAATTATTAAGCTTTTTTTTCAAAACCTCAAAGTAATGAAAATACTCACCATGTCGACATGTTGTTCAATTTAAATCCACGTACAGTTTACGGCTTTAATTATGCGCTTTTTTAGTGATATTTTTTGTATACCAAAATCTACAAAATTGTAGCAACAATAATAACAACAATTTGTTTTTCACTTATATTGACACAGGCGGCTCTAAGCCTTTAAGCTGGTAACTTGTATTCGATTTACATGAAAGAGGATTATGCGTTTTTCTTTCTTCGTTTATTTTTAATTTTTCAATTTTTTTTTATTTTAAGCAAAGCACAAAAGTATTGAGCTGCCAAAAGAAATCAGACAGCTGCAGACTGAATATTGAAAAAATAAATAAATAAAGTAAATAAGTAATGAAATATTAAATATTTTGATAGATTTTATTTATTTATTTGTTTATTTTTGTTATTGCATTTTTTGAAAAAAAAATACCTCGTGTTATTTTATGTAACACTGCAACACTTGCGCCACAACCTTTGTTGCTGTTATGCGCGGCATGCAGCGTGCGAGGGGCGGGGTGCAAGATAAGCAGGCCCTTTGGCCAACCGCTTGGCTAGCGTAAATATGCCGAACATGGCAAAAACAAATTTAACGCTTTGTTTACATAATCTACATGGCTGTTGTTGTTGTATATCGCTATGCAGACTATGTGGCCAAAGGACCGCTGACACTGTTATCGTGCGCTCGCTGCAAAGGTCTTGTTGTTTTAAGGTTTGTTATGCTTAGCGCGCTTTGTTATTTTACTGGCAAAGCCTTTACGGAGTTACCGTTATGTACTTTTTGTAGTTGTCACTGCATGGTAGAATGCATTTTTGTAAGCGGATTATTTTTCACAATTTTTTTCGCTTTGTTTTTACTTTTGTTTTCAAGCAAAAGTTTAATTCACACACTTTCTTTCAATTTAACAGCGCTTTTTGTTCATTTTTACGATTATCTTTTTGATTAATAATTAATATGAATATAAACTTTATAGCATTCTTACTGCAATTTCGCAACCACTGACTTAGCTGCGGCACGGCGTGCGCTCTGCAGCGGAAGTGCCGTCCAAAAATAGTGTTTGCAACATAAAAAGTACAGATGGCAAATACCAAATGGCAAAAAATTTGGGTCAAATTTCATAAATTGTCAGTAAAAGTAACGGTGCTTACAGTTCAAGCGGAAAAGCGAAAATAAAAGTATCGGGGAAAAAATGAAACAAACTTAAAAGGACGAAAAGCCCATTTAACTGCACACTTTCACACGCTTACAGATAGCCAAGGGGTGTATATTTTATGGCTTGCGAATACTAGCCACAAATAAACGCACACGCAAGGCACGCAAACACATGGTATAGAAACACACGCCTCTACAAAGGCATACTCATCAGTTAGTGCTAGCGTGCGTAGCGTGTGCTTAAAATCACATGGTGCGCATAAATGTGTGTAAATATATGCTTCAGGCAGGCTATCAGAGCCACCATTAACATTTATGACCGGGTAGCAATACGGGATAAGGAATCGAAATAAATAATAAATAAAATACACAAAATTCGTTATTGTCCACAACGCTTGAATTTAACGCATGAACACTTTAACTGTTTTAGTTTAAATTTTCTATCTAAAAATACATGAAAACAATAAAATCGAGTTTACTGCCTCGTCCAGCTTTATTAGAAGGCACTTCATTTTATTTTTGTCTGCCTATGCGACTGTGAACAGCTGCATGTGGCATTTCGTACACGCACCTGCATTTATAATATATTCAAATATTCTTACTTGCTACACATATAAATGTATGACACACACAGCTGCAACAACAAAAAATATTTATTTCAGTAATTTTTATATAATTTATACACTTAAAATCACTTTTGCTTATTCCTCCATTATTTGCCTCAGCATAAACATAGACACACACATACACTGTTATCTCACTGCATACAAAATTACATTTTTTGCTTCACCAATGCGCTGTCAGTCTAACTGTCCTTATGTCCTTTGCTTGCTCGCTGCAAAATATAACAAAGTGAATCGTTTTTACGGCACCGTATCAACCGCGCTACGTTGCGTATGTTTGGCGTTTGAAAATACGACTGAAAGATGAATAGGAAAATGCGAATGAAAAGCTCTAAAACGAGCAGGCTCACACTCACTTGCCCATAGCCAGACCACAGTGAACAGTTCACAGGCGCAGGAGACCGCTTGAGTGAGAATCGCCACCGAAGTGCTCACAAGTAACTGCAGTAAGTCACGGATTGACTCAAGTTCACCAACTCAACTGCCACTACACCAACACAAGCATACATAATTGGTAGTAACAACAAAAATGTATTTTTCTGCGTAACCCATTGGGTGAGCAACAATATCCAGACGTTAGTTTGGTCTGCGCTTGTCGTGTACGAGTTCAAAAATAGCACTTCCCTTCCTTTGTTGTAGTTTACTTTTAGGCGCCAGCATGCTGTTTGCCCGATTTTCACCATGTCTGCAAACTTACATGTAGCTTGTTATTAGTGGGTGTGGTGAATTGTAACTCACCTCACCAAATTAGTAAAATCTGCGCCGTGTACACAGTGCTCACGTGCATTTTTCATACATTTCGTTCATACAAACTTCTTGTTTGTATAATTAGCTTTCGCATTGTTGTTGCTTCATTAATTTATGTTGTACACTTGTTATTTATTGCTAGCGATATTTCTTACCAAGCACTCAATTAATTCGTGCGTTCTTTATGTTTTTCCAACTCGCTATTTGTTGGTGTTGGTTAATTGAACAAAAATATCATATTAAATCTTAAAAAGTTTTAAGGGGTTGTTAAATCCACTTACAAGACCGAAAAAATGTGTATTTTTGTGAATTTTTTGTTTTTGAAGTGGCATTTTATTTACGACTTAAAAAAAATGAACATAAAGCGAATTCAATGTACTTTTAAAATCAGCGATTAATTTAGCCGATCTCCAGAAGGACCTCCGCAAAAAGGTGTCTGACGGTGAAGAAGATATTTCGGCGGCAAATTATCTGAAACCAAAAATGAATGCAATTTAGTATTATGATACATGAATACAGTTAATAATCGACTGTGTTGTGAAACTTTTGATTTTTGGAAAAAATAGCGGCCATAACAAAAAAATTCATTTTTTGTGAGAAAATTTACAATTCAAAGTGGCTTAAAGAATTGAAATTATTGTCAAAAATCTTATTCCTTTGATTGTTATTTGAAAATTATATTTAAGAATGTCGTGTGTAAATTTCAAGCCGATCGGCTCAGCCGTTTCAGAGAAATTTTTCTCACCGACTAACTTTTTTCTCTAAGAGCTCTTGCACTGACTAAAATGTTATGGAACTTAACTAATTTATCACAGATACTGTGATGTTGGGCGCAGACGCACTTAAAGAAGCTTGACAAACTTCAATTTAAAGCAACTGAATACGGTTTTCGCAAGCGATTAGAAAGAAACCGTCAAGCCCTAAATAGCAATATCATGTCGGATATTCAAGGTTATATAACCGTTTTCAAATTAAAAGAAAAAAATTTCAAAACATATAATGAGGTTGAGGAGCAATCAAATTAATAGTGTTTAAGGCGTGAGTAGTTAAAATTAAATATTTTTTGAAGAAACTGAAAATAATAAACTTTTCTTTTCTAAAACAAAGAACAATGACCTTCGCAATACAGCTAGTAAATTTGAGGGTGAGTAAAACATTGCACACTTTTATTTTCATAAAGTAGAGACATTTGTGGTAGTTTTATTGTGAGATTAGCTATGTTATTGGAAATTCAGAGTCTCTTAACGAGGTAGTGTACTTATGTTAGAGTTCCACCGTTGTGCTTAATAATAGTCTACCCTGGAGTTAGTCGTAACACATGTCCTGAACTATTCACTGAAAACCTCTTTAAAAGTTTCAAACAACTTCATATTAGTGGCGCAAAAGGACTTCTTCAGTTTAGTGAAGCTAACACCTAACTAACTTATTGCCTTGTTTCTTACCCACTCCCTCAGTAATAAATTATTGTATGGTTCCCACATTCGTTGTTTGAATTCCGACGTGAATAGACGTGCGTGCGCATCGTTGTGATTTTTAGGCAAATTTTTTAATATTGTGAACGGAAATATAAGCATTGTTATTTCCTGGTACGAGTGCAAATCGAAGGACAGTGGAAACATTATCGCGTGCTGTTCACGAATAGTGCAGGCACCGCTATTGCGGTCCGTAATAAACTTAAAGGCCATTGACAGTAAAATATTGTTGTAGCGCAGATACGCGGTCGCGTGTCTTTCAAATGATTACACACTTTTTTGCGTACTTCTTGGAAGTGCGCGGGATTAGCAATATCGGCCGTAACTCCTTTGGTACGCCGCGTGTTTTTTATATTTTTGTTCGTGTTGGTGTGGTACAGGGACGAGATAGCGAGTGTCGGGACCGATCAGTTGAAGAAAAATGTCTCCACCACGGAGGAGAGGGGCGAAGTCACTCGCCGAGAGCGAGAAGTCGGAGCCTATAATGATCACGGCAGGATCATCGGATCCTCGCAGAAAGGCTCGCTTGGCCTCCCCACTGTTAGGGAGGTCTTGGGAGAGCGTAAGCGTAGCAGGAGCGGAAAAAGCTGCAAATTGAGATCATAACTTCAAGCTCTTAAGCTGTAATTTTTTGGCTGTGTACATTTGTGTTTTTATTTTAAAAAATTCTTGAAGTTTATTAATTTTTTTACCGTGTTAAAGTTTATAGGGAGACACGCAATGGCTTTAACGAAATCGGTCGTGATCTTGTAACCCTCACTGAAAAATTTAGGCACTATGAAAAATTGTTTAAATCTTTTAAGTACCTGAATGATTCTCACGAATCCTCTAAACCTGCTCCTAAGCGTAAACGTCCTTCCGATGAAGTAACACTTAGTTCTTCTATTCAGAAAAGAACGTCTCCTCCCAATGACCTAATAAATCTCTCTTCTCCTTGCCCTCAAGGTGATAAGCCGTCAACTTCCAAAGAGCTCAATTCCCCAAAAGCTCTATCTAATAGTAATAAGTGTCTCACAATTCCAGAGGCTCCCCCTATTAACTTAGTAGCATCAGTTAATAATTTGATAGTTATTCCACCTAAAAACTTGCCAAAGATACCTTGGTGGAGGACATTAAATCTTACATTTCGTCACGTTTAAAAATCGATGATATCAATATACGTAAATTTAACTTCAATTATGATAGAAGTATATCATCGTTTAAAATAGACGTATCTCTTGAAACATTCAAAAAGATCTTAGATAGTTCTTTCTGGCCACCTGGGGCTTTTGTACGCGAATTTAAACCTAAACTTAGAAGTCAAACTGAGGAAAACATTGTTAAATTACCAAAAGCAACCACCGATATAAAAAACTGATTGGTAGAAATTCGCTAAGCATTTATTATCAAAATGTTAGAGGTCTTAATACTAAATTAACCGACTTGTATTTGAACAGTTCCAATGATATGAGGCAGCAAACATGACCTTTTATGTTAGGCAGAAGATTAGGGGAGGGTGGGGATTGAGTGATCATAATTTGATTCAAATTATTGTTAGGCCCCGATGTCCTCCCTCGGCGTATGTAAGTTCATTGCAGCGATGGTGTACCTTAGGTATCGACTGGAACCAATATGGTCAGTGTGTTAGGGAAACGGTATTGGAAATACCGCTTAGGGAGTTTGATGGCTTAGGGATAGACGAGCAAATTGCGAATATGAGGTAGTGGGAGAGGTAAATAATAGGGTTCTTCAAAAGTTCAAAGGCTTCAGAGTTAGGAAACTTAAGTGGTGGACGCAAAAGTTAACGGTGAAGAGTAGGACTATCCGGCGATTGAGACGAAAGTTTCAAAGGTATGAACTTAGTTGTGTGATGAGGGAATACAAAGACATGTTGGTTAAAATCAAAGAAGAAGAGTGGAGGAGTTTTGTTGGGAAGAATAGAAATGACCCCTGGGGTCAGGTCTACAAGATCTGTAGGGCTCGTAAGAGGGAGGATATCACCTTTCGCCGCGTTGGTGATACTGTGTTATTAACATGGAAAAAGTGTGGGGGGTTCTGCTAGGAGCGTTCTTTGCTAGGATTCAGGCACCTCAAGTGCAAGAGATACCTGTTCCTCCGTTAGATTATGGGGAGTTTTGGTACGTCTTTGGCCTGGTCAGGTCTAAAAGGTCCCCATGTTTTGATGGTTTGAACGGAGAGATAAGTAAAAGCATTATCGTGTGTAATTTCTTATGAATAGTATAGGCAGTGTTATTTCCTGGTGCGAGTGCAAATCGAACAGTGAAAACATTATCGCGTGTTCTTTACGAATAGTGCGGGCACCGTTATGGTGGTCCGTAAATAACTCGAAGGCGTTATTGGGGGTGGCGCTATCAGCCATGTTGCAGCGATGAAAGTTGCAAAAGCTGAAGTCAGTGCAGTGGTATTCGGGGCGACTAATATGGAGGTTGCCTCCTGATGACCGTAATCACGGAGAACACTCACCTTCGCGGGCAGGTGGATGCACTTAAGGGAGGTTGTGGGGGACCCCGACCGAGCAAACTAATGGTGACTCGTGCTGAAGGCAATAGCGCCGACGCCGGTGGTGGGACAGTTATCCGCACCACCTCTGTTTTCGAGAGGGAGAAGGTGGCGACTAACGCAAAATTCGGGGAAGTGGGGTTGAACGTGAGTGTCAACCGGAAATTGGGGCAAAGTTTGGTGCAAGGGGTGCACACGGAGATCTCCCATGATGAATTCATGGAAAAACTTTTAAACATGAACTTACGGGAGTTCAGCCCCGAGGCAAATAAATCTGATGTTAGGTTAGTTAGTCGGAAGGTGACGGAGCCCTATAACCTTATTTGGGCTACATGGGTATGCTACTACTACTTGCGATTTTATCAACACTTTAAGCTGTAAAACTGTAATTTTTTGGGCTGGGAATTTTCGTGTTTTATTTTTCGAAAATTTACAATTTAATAATTTTAGTTAATATTTAATTAGTGTTTTGTTGAATGTTTAGGGTTTTGGCTGAAATTTGAAGCTAAGTATAGAGTTTAAATATTCGTATTTCGGTGCTGAGTAATTTTTTGCTTTATTTTGGACTCTTTTGTTTTTCTTTATATTTATCTCATCAATTTCTCCTTTCTCAGCTGGGTTTTTTGTAGTTTTTTATTTGTCCCAATGTATCTAAAACTGCTCTCTACCTTGAGTTTGGTTTTGAACTTTAACTTTTAACAATTTCAATTTTTTTTTTGCGTGCGTTTTTAATTGTAACTATTATTATAGATATTTTATTTTATTATAAATTAAATTTTGTTTTACTTACTTTTTTATTTAATCTTCTTTTCTTTTTTGCGTTTTTAATTGTAACTATTATTATAGATATTTTATTTTATTATAAATTAAATTTTGTTTTACTTACTTTTTTATTTAATCTTCTTTGAATCTTTGTTTTTTTTTTAATATGTTGTGTAGTTTTCCAAATTGTAACGTTTCATGGGGGCATTGTGATGGGCTTGCCTCGGGACTGACTGGCAAAATCCTAGGTTCTATTCATGATGATATGGGATTGCGTTGGTCCTGTTTAAATTGTACTTCGATCGAATTTGATCTATTTAAACTTTATAAGCAGACGCGCAATGGGTTCATAGAAATCGGTCTAGATCTTGAAACTCTCATCGAAAAATGTAGGCGAACAATTATTCCTATCTTTTAAGTGCCTTAATGTTTTTTACGAATCTTCCAAGCCTATTCCTCAACGCAAACGTCCTGCCGAAGAAGTTATACCTAGTTTTTCTGTTCAGAAAACAAATTCTCCTCCGATTGACCACATAAGTCGTTCTTTACTTTTCTTTGAAATTCGACTGAATTTACTAGATGCGCACAATTCTCTTCTACTAATTCTTGAGTAAAGGAGATCAAGAAAGAATAAGTAGCACTTCAATGCAAATACTGTCTTCTCTAAATAAATAAGTAAACTAAAAAACTAAAATTAATCAAGGAGCGGTTAAAGCTTGGCACACATACCAATTAAAACTTTTGGACGGCACTTTGTTACATTAATTGAGAACGTTGTTATCTAAGAAATTTTATGGGCCTTTTATGAGTTATCTGTAAAGATTATCAGAACAGGCCTAAAAGTATGTTACAAACCATGAATGACTATGGCAATCGTAAATTTCTTGCGATTTTGCAAAGCAAACCAATTTTTTATGGAATATTTATTTCACATGCTTAACTTTATATAATTCGAACTGATTTCGTAACATATATAGCATGGTATTTCTCTGATTGATTTCAAATTCTTTTGAGGTTTCAATCAAGGCACATCAAATATGTTTGTGTTATAAAAACATTTCCCTAACGAAGAATCTATCGGAGAAGCATCGATTCAGTTGCTAGGTACTAAACTGGTGCTTTGAGAATTTCTGTTGCTGTTTTTCAAACTTCCTCTCAGACTCCTCCAATTGATTTGGTTGAAATTTGATGCTACTTCTCTTTTGTTTTGGAAGTTATTATATGAGTTGTGAGTTTAGAGGATTCGGCTGGAACTCAGCTTTTTTGATGTGAAGACACACTGCTTAATGCAGTCTTATGTACCTTTGTTCTGTTTTTTTGGAAAATTGTGAATTTTATTGTAAGAAGCAGTAAGAGCGATCTTTTCAATAACAATATAAGCTTTTTCTTTTGGATTCCAACAGTGTTAGACTATCGTAAAATTGTACACTAATCTCGATATTCCAGCTCAAGTAAATATCCTCAGAACCATTTTGTGAGGCTCAGCTGGGTTGTATTGCCGATGAAAACAAAAAGTGAAACTAATCAAAGGCATTCCTTTCCACTTTCAACTTCTCGCCATGATTGCAATAGAGTTTGATTTCAAATTAATATTTACAAAATTTTTAAAATTTTAAATTTTATCATCAATTTTTTATATAGCTAATTTTTTCCTTCTATCAGACCTTTTTTTTGCACCGCGTACAAAGAATTTGGGATTGTGATATATTGACACAAGTCCGCTCGTGTGAACGTATTGAACGTTCCCTGCCTACTTTGCCATACTTTTAAGTAAGAAGGAAGTTGGACTAATAGACCTAAAATATTTCGCCAATGAATAGTCAATTCTTCCTACTTTAGGTATGAAGATCATCTCTGCAGTGCGCCATGGTTCTGGGATGTACGCCAGCGCAAGGCTATCTCTCATCAGCCAAAGAAGGTAAGACTTGCTCCTCCTGCTGCAGAAATTCTGGAAAGATGACATTCACGCCCGGGGACTTGTATTTTTCAAAAGAAGCCATAGCCTACTTGATTTAGTCTGCAATGAGGAGCTGTTTTGCGACTATCCAATCGAAGAGAGATGGCTTGTGTTCGACCACAGGTTAACACTGGACTTCTCGAATTGTCTCCGGAAAATCCGCAAATACTTGTAGAAAACCCGTAGGTAGCTCTTTCTTCTGCTGGGCGTATAGGTCCCATATGACCTTTTAATAGCTAGTACTGTGTCAGTCTTGCCTCTAGCTAGAGCTTATGCAGGCATTATCGAAAGCTTTGCTAAAGTCTGTGTATATAACATCCGTATGCTTATGTTTCCTAATGATACCTGGTTTACAAATTCAAGCAAGTTTTTTAGAGTCGATTTCCCTTTACGAAATCCATGCTGAGATGAGGAAATTAA